AAGTCCCTCGTCCCTGCATGCTCACTGGTGTGCGCTCTCCCTCTTGCATGTCCAGCCTTCATTCTGAGATCATATTCCTTCTGCGCAGTGTAGTTAGAAGTCCCCTTGGTCAAGGTTCCCGAGTTGATGATAAACTGTTAGTTTTTACCTTGTTTCCATTTCTTGACTATTGCTGTGTGCCATGCACATGAGAGTAGAGGTGTCTATTTGACATACTATCCCTCCCCCACTTTGGATATATACCTAGCAGTGAGATTGCTGGACCATATGGTAGTTCTATTTTAGTGTTTTGAGGACCTTCCATATTGTTTTCCATGAAGACTATACAAATTGATATTCCCAGCAGCAGTTTGAAAGGGGCTCTCTTTTCCCTTTATCACCAGCGCTTTCATTGTGTGATAGTCATCCTTACCAGAATGAAGTGCTATCTCACAGTACTTTTGCTTTGCAATTCCCTGATGACTAGTGATATGGAACCTTGTTGCATATACCTATGGGGCCATTTTATGTCTTCTCAGATTGTTTTTTGTTGCTGAGTGTTTAAATTTCTTATACCTGGATGTTAACTCCTTATCAGATGTATGACTTACAAATATTTTCTCCCATGCTGTCCGTTGCTTCTTCACCCTGGTGATTGGTCCCTTGACTGTGCAGAAGCTTTTCAGTTTGTCACAATCACATGTTTATTTTTGCTTTCATTTCCTGTGATTTTCAGATCCTGCCCCAAAACATCCTTGCCCATTCAAATGTCCTGACATGTTTCCTCCATATTTTCTTCTAGTTGTTTCATTTTGTCAGATCTTATGTTTAAGTTATTGATTTATTTTTAGTCGGTTTTTGCAACTGGTCAGAAAAAGGGGGTCTAACTCCAGAAAATCATTCTGTGTACAGATACTCAGTTTTCCAAACACCATTTATTGAAATGACTGCCCTTTCTCCCCTGCAGGTTGTTAGTACTTTTGTTGAAAATCAGTTGGCTGTAGTGTGTATGTACTTCCAGGGTCTCTGTTCTATTCTACTGGTCTGTGGTCCATGTCAGTATTATGCTGTTTGGTTATTACAGCTTTGTGGCTTATTTTGAAGTTATTGAGTATAATTCCTTCTGCTTTCTTCTTTTTGCTAAGCATTGTTGTGTGTGTGTGTGTGTGTGTGTGTGTGTGTGTGTGTGTGTGTGAGTTACCCGGATGTGTGTCCTTGAAGAATGTCTTTGATATGTTGATAGGATTTGCAATGAATCTGTAGACAGCTTTGGGTAGTATGCACATTTTAGTATGATTGATTTAGCCACTCTATGACTGCAGGAATTTTTTTCAATTTATTATATGTCCTCTTTAATTTTCTTATTCAGTTTTATATAGTTTTCATTGTAGAGATCTTTCACCTTCTTGGCTAAATGTACTCCCATGCTAAATGTACTGTAAATGGGATTGTGTTTTCGGTTTCTATTTCAGATAATTTAACTATTGGTATTTAATAACACAGATAACTTTTATACATTGATTGTGTATCCTTTAACGTTGCTAAGTTGCTAAATTTATCAGTCCTCATAGGAGTTTGGTAAAGTCCTTGGGTTTTTCTAGATATAAGAACATGTCATCAACAAACAGTGACAATTTGACTTCCTCTTTTCCAGTTCAGTCCTTTGTTTCTTTCCCTTGCCCGATGCTCTCTCTAGTATAGGGCTCTCAGTACTGTGCTGAATACAAGTGATGAACTTACTCCAGATCTTAGAAAGCTTTCAGCTTTTTCACGAAGTATAAGATTAGATGTTGTTTATTATATTTGGCCTTTATTATGTTGAATTGTGTTCTTTCTGTATACCTAACTTGTTCAGTGTTAGCATGAATGGATGTTGATCAAATTGGTTTTGTCCTTCGTTCTGTGGGCATGGTGCACTTTGTTTATTGATTTGCATATGTTAAACTATCACGCACTCCTGGAGTGAAATCCCAACTCATCATGGTAAATAATCGTTCTAATGCTTGCTAGCAATTTGTTGTGAGTTTTTACAAATACATTGTCAGGGATATTATCCTATTAGACCTGTTATGTTCTTGTCTGGTTTGAATAATAACAGGATAATTCTGACATTGTTGAACATATTTGGGGAGTTTTTCTCAACTTCAATTTTGTGCAATAGTTTAAGAAAAAATTTGGTATTAGCTTTTATTTAAATGTTTGGTAGAATTCATCAGTCAAGTCATCTTGTCCTGGATGTGTCTTTGATGGAAGACTATTTTTTAATTACTGATTCAGTCTCATTACTTGTTATTGTTCTCTCCAGCTTTTCTGTTTCTTCATAGAGCCCTGGTAAAGTTAATTATCCATTTTTGTGGTATCTGTTGTAATGTCTCTTTCTCCTGATTTTTTTTTGAGTATTCTCTCTCTCTCTCTCTCTCTCTCTCTCTCTCTCTGATTAACTAAGAGTTTGTCAATTTTATTAACCTTTCTGAAAAATCAGCTCTTCATATATTTTTATTTTTATTCATGTGTATGTGTATGTCTATGTGTGGGTACATGCACCTGAGTGCATGTGCCCACGGGGGTCAGAAGTGGATGCTGGATCCCCTGCATCTGGAGTTACACGTGGGTGCTGGGAACAGAACTCGGGTCCTCTGCAGGAAGAGCAGCATGCACTCAGAGCTGCTGAGCCACCTCTCCAGCCCCTGCTCCTCCTGTTTTCATCTTTGGTATTTGGTATGTTTTTAGTGCTGTTCCATTTTCTTATACTCTGATATTTATCATCTCTTTCCTTTCCTATTTTGAGTTTTCTTTGTTCTTGCTTTGCCAGTTCTTTTGATGCAGCCATAGTCACCTATGTGAACATTTTCTGCTTCTTTTATGCATTCATTGATTACTGTGACCTTGGCTGTTGGCTCTTCTTTTGCTCTGACCCATAGGTTTTGATGTGTTATGTCTCCACTTCATTTGTTTCAATCAATCTCTAAGTCTCTGCTTGATTTCTTCCTTGATCCATTGGTTGCTCAAGAGTAAGTTGTTTTGATACTGTACTAATATAGTATTGAAAGTTTTTGTTATTGATAGTTTTCCTTTTTGATTCCTATTTTTATTACAAAATGGTTGGAAAAGATACTTGATATGACTTGAGTTTTTTGTCTTGTGTGTGAGTGTGTATGTATGCATGCAGGTGCCATGGTACATGTGTGCACCTCAAAGGACAACCTCAGGTATTGAGCTTCACTTTCCACCTTGTTTGAAACAGGATCTCCTTGTTTGCCACTACTGTGTACGCCAGGCTGTCACCCAAATTCTCTCTTGGTCTCCTGCGCTATCAAGCAAACCATATAACATATCTTTATGTGCATCTGTTAACTTACAAAGGAATAAGTACCCAGTGCCTAGCCCCATGCCGTGGCTCAGAGCCCGCCATATCAGACCGTGCCCCACCCATAGTCACCACTAGCATTCACTCATGCCTCCCAGGCCGGTGATCTCACCCCAGGTCCATAAGAGTCAGTCCATTCTGTCCTTGAGCTGCTGTGGCTACATGTTCCCCACACCATGCGTGCTACCTGTGGCTCATGGCTTCCATCCCAAGATGGCTCCCAGCATCCCCCCAGTAGTCCACGCTCCACGGCAGCCCCCACCCCTTGGAGGAACTAGCCAATTGGGAGACACAGGCTAGCTGGCTCCAGAGCTTCTGGGAAACATGACTCTGCTTCTCATCTCACTGTAAGAGCCCTGGGAATGCAAAGGCATGCCACCGTGCCTGGCTTTATGTAGGTCCTGGAGATCCAAAGTCAGGTCCTCATGCTTGTGTGGCAAGCACTTTATCCATCTCCTCAGCCCTCTGACTTCAGTTTTTAAGAATTTGTTGAAACTCATTTTATGGCCTGTTGCTCTTGGATGAATGAGATAGAGCAGAGAAAATGACAGTCAGAGGTGACTCAGAGATTTTAATCCAAAGGCTTTCACCACTAAAGGTTATCCAGAATGAGGAAGGAAGGGCATATTGTGAAAGGTGGTGGTGAATTTGGTTTTTGATGTGTGGAACCTTAGTGTTGATGAGTCTTTGGGGTTGAGATGCTCAGCAGGTGGTCATGAATGAAAGTCACAAGTGTGAGGGAGAAGAGAATGATGAAGGAAACAAGCAGGAGGCATAGCCAACAGGAACACCGTTATGCAGAAAACAAGATCGCAGAAATTCTGCCACAGAGAAAGAGTACTGCTCAGAAGTGTGGCTATGATCCACTTGGGACAGTCACAGTGACTCTGCCACATTGTCTCATAAATTCCCATCTTTACTGCTACCAGAGGATCTCACACTAAGCAGAAGAGTCATAGATTCAAGGCTATCCTGGGCTACACAGTGACACCTGTCTCAAAAAATTTTAAAAAAATCCATGTGTATGTCATTTATCTCTTCTAATTTCTAGTATGGCTTGAACTAGATCTCACTCTGCACATAACTTCCTTCTTAATTTGCTGTGTTCCTATCAGTATTTAAGTAAAGGAAAAATAAGTTCTAACATATTGTCCTTTTGTTAAGAAACAAAATGTTGCCAGGCATGGTGGTGGTGCATGCCTTTAATCCAAGCACTCAGGAGGCAGAGGGTGGTGGATCTCTGTGTGAGATCATGGCCAGCCTGGTCTACATAGTGTGTTCCAGGCCAGCTGGAGCTACAGAGAGACCCTGTCTCAAAAAAAAACAAAAAAAAAAAAACAAAAAAAAAACCTGGTATTAGAATTTAGTCATAAACATAACATTTTGTTGTATTTGTGAGTCCACATATATTGTTATTTCATGAAAAATAGTTTGTCTATTAAGGAAAAAAATACAAAAAATATACCTGAGAAAGTGCTTACCTCATATACAGTGTATGAATTGCTGTTAGTGGTTATGAAATGTAGTAAATATGTATTGCTAAAGAGGATAAGCAGTCTTCATTGTGAAACGAGATTCTCTGAGACCGGAATTGCGACTTCGGAAGGTTGTTAGGGCTGAGTCCTGACTCATTTGTTGGGCTTATGGTTTTCAGGGAATTGTTGCTGGTTTCACATCAAAAAAGCCTGGAGCAGCTGCAGGGAGTGCTGAGACAGAGGCTGCTGAGTGAGGAGAACAAGAGGGAGAAGGTAACCGCAGCTCCCCACAGCGTGCTCTCGTCTGCTTCTGAGAGACCCTGTCCATCTGCCAGAAGACCCTTCCAGAGAGATTCGGGCTTCTGTGCATACCCTTTATTCCACCTGGAATTTCCAACACTACATACACTTAGGATGTGTGTATTTTCCAGAATATTAGGCAGCATAATAGGAAATAAAAGGTAAAAAGATAAAAGAGAAAGAGATTTTTAAAATCTTGTAATGGTAAGGTGGTTCTTATGCAGAGAAGCATAATATTAACCTTTAAATACTTCCATCAAGTGTCAGAATCTGCATTTGACATATTTGTCAACCCAGGTATATGCTAATTAATTATTCTCACTTCTGTGCTTCTAAGATTATATAAGGGAGTAGAAATGATGTTAAATTATTCAGTTATGAAATATTTACATGTTCACTGTGGTGAGGTAAAACGAATAACTTGCTCTAAAGAAGACCACATAATGAAGACACCCATCAATAAGCCAACATGGATGGGGAAATTTCACAAAGCCCCATGCCTAGATGAAGAGCTGAAGGCAGTCAGTGGCTGCTGAGAGAGGGAGAACCAGTTTGCTCCAGGGACTAGCCCACTGGTAGGTTATCCAATCCCAAGTGCCCAGCCCTAAACACATGTACATACAACCTCCACTAAATGGATTCAGTAGGTTGTGTGTGTATGTGTGTATACATATATATGTGTGTATTTATATATATATATATATACATTTGTGTGTGACAATAATAATTATAAAAGAGAAATTGAATTTGAGAAGGAGTAGGGGAGCATGGGAGCAGTTGGACGGGGAGAGTGGGCGTGGAAATTATGTAAATTAGGTGCTCATATATGAATGCTCAAAAAATTAAAAATTAAAACATTTTAAATTAGCTTGCTGTTACTTAAAATTGTTTTCTCTTAGACTATCACTATGCTGATTTTGGTGTTCAGACTTTTCTCTATTATTCAATGTTTCAACAATGAGCTCAAGGAACTCTAAATAACAAAAGTCACATTTTCAAGTTGCTAGTCCCTACTTTCCTGGGATGCACAGCTCTACTCACAGTGGAGTGACATCACCTCCCTGTCATAAACTTGCAGTAGTCCTCACTGACCCCTAGGTCTGTCCTGCACACTGAGCCTAATCCACCTTTCTTTTCTCCAACTGTGTCCATGCCTACCACAGGCCTTCTCCCTCTGTTTTGTTGTTTATTTGTTTCAAGAAGCTAGGGGTGATGGTCGGCTTGGAGGTCAGGGCCATGCACACACTAAGCAAAGCACTACCAATGAGCTGTATCGCCTGGCCTGCTGCTTTCTTCTTGTGGTTTAAAATTTTCTTTAGAACTGGAACTTCCTACTGAAGTTGGGTTGTCTGACTGTGGGTCAAGCAGCTTATTTGGCTATTATCAGGCTCTTCTTGGGGACTGGATCCTATTATTTGTACCTTCAAGCAGTCAATAGTGTCCACCTTCAGAATGGCACCTCACTAGCAGTTCCTCATCTGCTCCCCAGCACACTGAAATCTTTTGCACTGTTGATGGCTCCAGTTGATTCTAAATATTTCACTCCCCTTTCCAATTTTCAAACATCCTGTCAGTACTAGCTCACTGTGAATTTCTTTTTTCCTATGTCCCTTAGTCAGGCTATAATAAGGATGATCAGCTGGGCATGGTGGTACTTTACTCAGTGCTGTAATCCCCTCACTGAGGAGAGGCAGGAAGAACATGAGTTTGAGGCCAGTCTGGGCTGATGAGATCATGTCTCAAAAAGAAAATCACTGTTAAGTATAGTTCTATATGGGTGGAAAAGTATAGTTCTATAAAGGTGGAGTAAAAATTGAGACTACGGACTGAACTTGCTGTAAATACCCAGTCTTACCTTGTTGCAGAGCGGACTTTCTCTTTCCCTTCTTATCTAAGGCCCCCCACTAATAATTATTTTATGAGCTTTAATGTATTTTCTTGGCTTGTCTGTTCTTACTTGTTTCCCTTGTCCTTATCAATTCATGTTTTAACGTTCAAAAAGATGATCTGCCTAGCATGTGGTTCCATCCCGAGCATTACCAAAACCATCAGCCTAACAGTCCAAAATGGAAGCTTATCTTTTGACTACAATTGATAGAACTGTTTTGATGCTTTAGTGAAGGCCTAGTGAAATAGGTTCTCGCACATCAGGGACTAAAGATTAAGGCAACCCTTTGGAGAGCAATTTGTCAGGATTTATTAAGAGATGCTGTAAATGTCCCATCTTTTCACTCAGAAATCTCTCTGGTGGAATTGATGTGAATCTCTGAGATTTGGCAATCCTTTTCTCCAACTCCTAAACTCTTTCTCTTAGGCTCAGGAAATGAATTTTCCTCCCTTTCCTTGAGAATTTCTCCATGTCCGCACACCACACTGGGTTTTTAGGTACAATCCACTGGAGAAGAGGGCTTTAAGAATAAAATGAGTCACTTTGGTACTGCTGTGCAGAGACATACACCAAGTTGGTGCTAGCAAGTGGCCACTTGCTCTATGCCAAGTTAATCTGGTAGTGAAAATAATACTGTGTAGTATTATCAAAGTTCTTAATAAGCACTTGCTATCTCCCTAATACATTAATTTCATCATAGATGTCTTCTGGCAGGTATAATTTTCTATAGTATAAATAGACACTTTATTTTATTGATAGGACCTGACTTCTTTTTAAATATTTTTTTATTATTTTTATTTTATGTGTATGAGTGCATGTATGTGAGTGCACCCATGCTGTTCAATGCCACAGAGGTCAGAAGAGGGTGTCGGATTCCCTTGGAACTGGAGTTGAGGACGGTTCATAACCGCCATGTCGGTGCTGGGAATCGATCCTGGGTCCTCTGCAAGAGCAGTCAGTGCTCTTAACTGCTGAGCCATCTCTCCAGCTCCAAGCACCTGACTTCTTAATAAATGTTACCATTTAACCAGCAGTAAGTCAATATCAGACCAGTAAAGTCAAAGAATGATAACTCTGTCTTGTCTTGGCAGCATTAGCTATTTAGACTATGAATGAAAAGTTCCCTAAAAGTCTCTCATGAGAAAGGAGAATCACTAATATGACATTGTCATCCCTTTCTTGGGTCACTGTGTTTTTGAATAGGAATGAAATGTTCCCTTTACAAATATATAATGCACATATTAGAATAAACTTCATAACAAATGCTTTTAACATTTTTAAAAAAGTAGATAGCAATTTGTGCTTGTGCTTAATTATTTTAGAGTATGTAAAAAGCACATAATAAGATCAATAGTTGCTATGCAACAAGGATGACACACTTTAAAATAACTGTATTTACTAATTGTCATGAATTTTTGTATTTTAAGTATTGCTTGGATACAAAGAAAGCAAACTAATGGGCACGATGGACCTTTAAAATTGGTTCCAAATGCACAATATTGTTACTATTCATTAAAAATTTTATAATGAAGAAATCTCCTATGGCTGACTACTTACATAACCAATTCACATTACTTATTGGCTCTTTCTTTTTGGTACAACAGACAAATTCCAACCAAATATTTTCCAGATTGTCACCAACAAATGACATCTAGAAACATTTCAGAGGTATGCTAAGGAGTCATTTGGAGTAATATCTAGAACTCTTGAAAACAAACAATCAAAACCTTGTTTCCAGGCTGGATCCACAGTGGAAACGCAGAGGAGAAGCGTGCACTTCAAGGAAAGGCAGCGCACACCTTCAATCCCAGCTTGGGAGGCAGAGGCAAGCAAAGGTCTGTGAGCTCCAGGCCAGATGAGGCTATAGAGAAACCTGTCTCAAACAACAACAACAACAACAATAATAATAATAATAAATTCTCATTTTTAAGAGACATAAAATAGCTCATTCTTTTTCAAATGGAAAGTCCAAATGTCCTAATGTGTTATAACATACTATCAGTGAATAAAAAGAATAGCTCACAAAACAAAGTTTGAGAGTGATGAAGTGATTAATATAATATCCTCAATTATTTATAATAAGCATATGGATAAAATAGTAATGGCATACTTCACTTTTAAAACTATTTGATGTAACTTTAATAATTAAATTAATAAAATTTACACATTTTAGATCTAGAATCACCTACAAAGAATGTCTGATACAAAACCATTAATAATAAAATGCTATCCGAGTACTTGCTATATGCCAGGCTTTGTGCTGAATACTTTTTATAAATGCAATTTTTAATTTTGTGACATTCTTGTTCGTGATTTACAGATAAAAAATAAAATAGGCAAGACTGGAACAGGTTAGAAAATATAGCAAGGTTATAGAGCAAGGAAAGGAGCTGACATTGACTTAACCCCTAAAACTAAATGTGAAGTCCACAACATCTACATTTCACCAGGGTACAGTAACAAGGACCAGATTAGATTTGGTCTTCCATCTTGAACAGATAAAACCCTGGAGGAAAGGTAGAAAACAGTGATTCCCCAGTGCTTATCCATCCACTGAGTCTAGTCAGCCTATCTAGAGCTCCTTGTTTTAGGAAGATCGGCTCTTCCTCGTCTAGCAGCAATCAATTGCCAATATTCCTTTAGATAAGATTGGGATCTGTTGTTCATTCTCCCAGTTCTGTGCTGGGTTACTATCTGGGAGTCTCTTGAGCCACCATGGCCAACAAGTCAAAGGAAGATAACTCCTGTCTGCCATTGTATCTTGTTATGTAGCTTTTAGCTATACACATGGACTTTTAAAGAGTTATATTAATCCCTTTAATCTTTGGTTATACTTTCCTTTTGGGTGTTTAAGACCATACAGTTGGCCCAGATAAACCAATTTATTTTTACTCTTAAGGCAGTTTGAGGAAATACACAAAAATTCAATAAAAGGCTTGGGAGGAGCCCCTGGCTCCTTTCTTTTACCAATTCCGCCTATGTGAAGATAAGTCAAAGGTCCTGCTCGACCATGGATGGTTTCGCTAGGAAGCATGGAGGAAATAATTCTTCTGTGTTGACCCTCCACTTTATAGACGGGACACTG